GTTCTTTTTTTTCCTATTCTGGCCTTTTAACAGTCTTTTGTTTCCTTCAGGCTTGATATCCGTAATATCACCCCACCACTCTTCTGGTCTTTGGTCGTTAATGCCCAGCGAGTCCAGTCTGTCCTTGAGATAGCCTCTGAAGCCAGGGGGGACATACTCAAGACTGTACATTAGCAATCGTGAATGTGCGTTTATTTTCTTCAGCTTCAATTTGAATCTATCTGCTAATGAGCAATTGATGGTCTGTTCTGCAGTTGACACCTGCCTTGCTCTGGAAACTTTTCTATCCTCTTTCCAGTAAAAAAAACACCTCTGCCATCGAATCAATGTCAACTAATAGCGGCCCTACAGGGTAGAGTATAACTGCCGCGTTGGGTGTCTGAGGCACCCACATCTTTATGAGATTTATAAATCTTTATGAGAGCAGAAAGCCTCGTCTTTCTCCTACCGTGTGGAAGATGAGTTTCAACTGCTGACCATGAGATTAGCAGCTCACTGAGTAACGCCTTCCGCCAGCAAGACTCCTTTCTCTTTCCACAGATGTGGTCACTTTGATTCCTGTGTGTTCCGTGTCAAGAGCTCCATGAAAATGGTCACCATTTAAGTTGTTGGAAAGGGTATTTCCAATGACTAGGTCTTTGGGCTTGCAACGTTCCACCCTGCAGCCTCCAGCATTGTTTCTGTCACCAAAATCAGATTTTCCAAATACCGATCCTTCTTCTTTGGCTCCAGCTTTCAAATGCCAGTCACCAGTAGTTGTCGATGCATCTTGAGTGCGTATTGGATAAATTTCCAACAACAGATGTTGGTAAAAATCTTCAATTTATCTCCAGAATTAGTGGAATTAAGAGCCCCTGGTGGCATAGTGGTTAGGAGTTGGGCACTAATCTCAAGCCTCTAGTTACAATATTGAAGGATTCTCTTGGAAAACGATTGTGTGATACAGGGAGCATCAAAAAAAGGTGGAAGGCAATGGGTGGATGGATGGATGGATGGTGTTGAGTTGTACGGTCCCCCAATAAAATGATTTTTTTTAAAACGGTGGAAGGACTACATAGAGTCACTGTGCCAAAAGAATCGGATGCCACGCCAGCATTTCAGGTGATAGCCTGTGATCAAGAACCAGTGGTACTGAAGGAAGAGGTCCAAGTTGCGCTGAAGACATTGGTGAGAATCAAAGCCCCAGAAATTGATGGAATACGACCTGAGCAAACAATCCAAGATATTTCGGTATCTGAAGAGGAATGCAACGTCAAGGTTAGAGACGGAACCATTACCAATGTTTCAACAAGCTCAGGAAGTAACGGAAGCACTCACTCGTCTATAAAGACGGCAACGTGGACAACTGACTGGAAGAGATCCATACGTGTGTGCACTCCAAAGAAAGGGAACCACAGAGTGCCAAGCTGTAGACCGATACCGTTAATGAAGCATGCAAGCAAAAGTGTGGTGAAGGTCATCCAGTGGTGGTTGCAACAGTACATTGACAGGGAGCTGCCAGGGGTTCAGGCTGGATTCAGAAGAGGGATGTTCTTGCTGACGTCAGATGAACCTTGGCTGAAAACAGAGAATACCAGAATGATGTTTACTTGTGTTTTGTTGATGATGCTAGGGCATTCGGCTGAATGGATCATAATAAACTATGAGAATTCTGGAACACTTCATTGTGTTCATGCAGGACCTGTACAAGAGTCATTTGTACAAACGAACGAGGCCATTTATCAGTTCAAAATCAGGAAAGGTGTGCATCAGGGTTGTATCCTCTCAGTGTATTTACTCAATATATACACTGAGCAAATTATCTGAGAAGCTGGATTATTATATGAAGAAGAATGGGGTATCAGGATTGGAGGAAGGCCTATTAACAACCTGTGATACACAAATGACACAGCCTCGCTTGCTGAACGTGAGGAGGACTTGAAGCACTTCCTCATGAAGATCAAGGACTGCAGCCTTCAGTAAGGAGTACAACTCAATGTAAAGAGAACCACCACTGGCCCAATAGGCAGCATGATAAACAGAGAAAAGATTTACGTTATCAAGGATTTCATCTTGCTTGGATCCACAATTAATGGTCAGGAAAGCAGCAGTCAAGACATCAAATGATGCATTTCATTGGGTAAATCTGCCGCACCAGACCTCTTCAAAGTGTTGAAAAGCAAGGATGTTACTTGAGGACTAAGGTGTGTCTGACTCAAGTCTTGGTCTTTTCAGTTGCCTCACGTGCATGTGGAAGTGGACCTTGAATAAGGAAGACTGAAGAAGAACGATGCCTTTGAAGCATGGTGCTGATGAAGACTATTGAAATGACCGTGGACTGACAACGGCAAACACATCGGCCTTCAAAGAAGTAAGGCTAGAATGCTCCTTAGAAGCAAGGGTGGTGACACTTAGTCTCACAGACTTTGGACATGTTAAAGAGAGCCCAGTCCCTGGAGAAGGACATCATGCTTGGTAAAGTAGCCAGACAGTAAAAAAGAGGAAGACCTGTGACAAGATGGATTGACACAGTGGCTGCACCAGTGGGCTCAGACATAAGAGTAATTGTGGGGGCGGCGTAGGACCGGGCAGTGTTTCATTCTGTCGTACATAGGGTCCCTATGAGTTGGAACTGACAACCAGTCTGGTTTTCGATTTTGGAAGTAATAAGTACATTGTGGGGAGGTGTGTTAGTCTGGGTACATTAGAGAAACAAATCCACAGAAACTCACGTATAAGAGAGAGTTTTATATAAAGGTTAAGTGTGCATCAAGAAAACATCCCAACCCAGTGCTGCCCAAGCCCACAAGTCCAATATTAACCCATATGTCCAACACCAACCCACAAAGTCCCTCCTCCATCTCACAAAACACACGCAATGATGCGGACTGCAGGAGGAAAGCCTTGCCAGCTGAAGCAGGGAACTGGCTAAGGCAGCTGCACCCTGGTCCGACCATCAGAAAGCAAGAGACCCTTCAACTAACCCTACATGTACCAGGTTGGCACAATAAATTAACTACCTCACTTACTTTAGAATAGTGACAGCTGGTCCAAAGGTGCCGTTGTCTCATCCCTGGCTGGCCAGCCATGCACACCAAGCTCCTGTCATCCCGCCTGCCCCGTGTGTGTGCACGAGGTACCACTGAGGGTTGACTTAGACCCAATATCCCTGGAATTTCCCAAACTGTACATCTTATATGGGAGGAGACCCCCTCATCTGTCATCCACAGGGGCTGGCGGGCTTGAATTGCTGGCCTTGGGGCTAGTAGCCAGACATGTGACCCATTAGGCCACCCACTCCTTTCCTCTCTGACAGACCATATCAGATCATGTTCCATTAGCCACCCCAGAACTTTGGCGTTGGTTAATAAATGCTTACTGTGAGTTTCCTCCAACAGAATAGATAATAAGGGACTTGCCCACCTAATAACCTCCGCATTCAAGAATTTTGGCTTTCTATCTATCTATCTTATCTATCTATCTATCTATCTATCTATCTATCTATCTATCTATCTATCTATCTATATCTATCTATCTCTAGATCGAATTCACTGTATCTTAACCTAGCTTTCCTTTTATTGTCAGGTCAGTTTGGCTTGGGATTTTCCTCTTTGGAGCTCCGTCTTTTATCTTTCCTGGTCAATCTCTAGCAGCCCCTCTGCTCTGCTCCTCAGCTGACCACGCATTTACCTTCTCATGGCTGTGCTGCATGAGGAGAAACCAAATGCCGGAGGTCGTTGAGTCACAGGGCCTGGGAGCAGCCATTCTGTCTGGGGGCAGGCAAGGCCGGGCTGACCTTTGAGATAAGCCCACAGACCAGGGCTCCAGGGCTCGTGGGTGTACAGGAGCTGACGAGAGTTTGGTGGGGAGATAGAGAAGCCCACAGAGAGAACCACTTGTCATGCCAAGTGCCTCAGCGTCGCTTGAAAAACAGCTACCTTTAGTGACTCACTGCAGTAATGTATTGTTCTAGAGATGTTTTCCAACACCAGGAAACCAGGGGTCTCATTTGGGGTCTGGAATTTTTTTTTCTTTTTACGAAATGGGCTTTATTTTCCGTTACTATGCCTGTCTTAACCAAATGATTCTGAAATAATTTGCATTCTCTCTCCAGTCACGTCAGCTGGGCTTTTTCTTGAGGGGAGGGCTTGATCATGAGTCACATGTACTGAAACAAAATCACTGGTTTGTAGTTCAAAACAACCTTTTTGCACTGTGCTCCATTGTCAATGCCCCCTCCCCCTTCGTTAAGAGGCACTTATTCTTTTCAGAGGAGCAGGTGCAAAAAATAAAATTAAAATGATCTCAGTGGTCCAATGAATAGATTCAAAAATCATCATAAAGTGTTTGTTGAAAAGTACCCTGGCCACTGTTTGGCTTGTGTCTTTATCTTACAGGTGGGAAAGAAATCCAGAAAGATGAAGCAAGTTGTCCAAAGTTACCTGGTCACTGTCCTGAGTCCCTGGAAGCCCTTCCCTTCACTGTCCCTCCCCATATCCCTTTCTTGCCCAGGCACAGTGGAGAGGACCCTGTAGAACAATAGTTCTCAACCTGTGGGTCGCGACCCCTTCGGGGTTGTCTGATTCACAACAGTAGCAGAATCAGTTTTGATGTAAATAATTTTGATGGTTGGGGGGTCACCCCCACATGAGGAACTGTGTTAAAGGGCTTCGGCATTAGGAAGGTTGAGAACCACTGCTGTAAAGATGGCTTTCTTTCCTGTTGCTTTGAGATCATCTCTACAGAAATGATCCCAGAGAGCAGAGGGCAGCTGTTTGGATCTTGAATTACATAAGGGATTTGAACTTCGTGCATTATTCAGATTCAAGTGAACACTTCTTTATTTGGTAGGGCTCTTTTAAATTGAGGGTTTAAGAAGGGAGGTGACTAATAGGTTCCACAATTTAGATAGTAGTCACAAGTAGTGTTAACTATATAAATAGTCCTTTGCCCTTTGAATATCAGGCCAGAAGTATGTTCTGTTTGGATTGTTATAACAAGACCTGTTCTCTTTGCTCCAGGGTTCTTTTGACTTCAGTGACGTTGCTGTCTATATACTCAATAAACCTTCTATTGATCTGTTCAAAGGAAACAGGTAAGCTGAGGATAGATCCAGCTTTAAGGCCAGGGTGGATGATTTTCACAGGGATCCTACTGTAAACAAAGGATATCCCACCCCCCGCCCCCCATCCCCTGCTCAGTAACTTGATTATGAGAGAGAGAGAGAGAACCTTGATCCTTTGACCTAAAGTAACTGGAGGTATTTACCCAGGGAAACAGATACAGGAAAATAACAATTAAGCTGTGGACAATGGACAAATAACATTGCCATTTAGAGCAAGCCCTCAGTTACACCTGTTTGTCTAGCTTAAGATGACGTAACACCAAAGGCTTCCCTTTTTCCTTCAGCCTCTGCAAATTGAGAACAAGGGTCCCTTGTTTTTATATGGGAGCTTCCAAGGGAGGCCACCTTATAAAAGGAAACAGACCTCTCATTCTCTTTCATGCATATTCCAAAGAGAAAACATTTCCCCTTAGGCAAGCAGGGGTGAAGAAGCTTCAGGTCCTCTGGGCAGTGTAACCCCTGAAGTGTTTATTTTCCATTCCGGGGACACTGGATTATGTTTGTAGGACTCTTTTCCACTAGCTCCAACCACACTGGCCAACTATTATTGTACACAGACAGCTGCATTTAACTGGAACATTTTGTAATAGATGGAGGATCTAGCCATTGTCCAATTCAAATATCAGTCTTTTTTTTTTTTTTT